GCCAGTACCCAGCAGCAGTGTGAGGCCCTGTGGGCTAAGCTCTCACCCACTGTCATCTCATCCTGGGGAGGCAGGAACATTGCGAGGGGGTTAGAACCAGGGCCAAGGCTGGGCCGACCATATCCGGGGGAACTGGAGGCTTCCACCTCCTTGGCCTGCACTGATCTGCACCGCTGGGCTATGCCGCCATGAATTTCTGGGGGCTGTCCAGGGTGCTGACGAGGGCAGGCTGCCCAGGAAGCCAGATTAAGGCACCTTAGGGCATCCATGTGTAGACATGCACCTAAATAGCCTTAATTAACTTTAGGCTAAGGCATATTAAGTTTAGGCTTTCATAAATTCACATGTTGACATACCCAGTGTTCCCCAACTATCAAATTCCTCTCATCCTTGCATACAGTTCTGCTCTCCTCTTCCCCACAGACAAAATTAGGAGAGGGATGGATCCAACACCTTCTCCTCTCTCCTCATCTCAGAGGGAGAAGGGTAACATTTAATAGCTGTGCAGCTGCCAAGAACTCCCCAACTTCTGTGTCTCAAAGCACTGGCTGCAAATTGAGAGTTCTCAGTAGATCAAAGGTCCCTGTTTGAGGTGGATGTGGGAACAATAACTGCAAATGCATTTGAGGAATCACCTACTGAGGCAACTGCCCAGTCCATTGCCACTGCTTGTAGGAATGAGTGTTTAGTGAGACAGATAGGCTGAGCTACAAAGGGATTTTTTGGTAACTTGAGAGAAATAATCTTAAGATCTAGAAGTTTATCTTTAAACACAAACCCAGGAGAGCAATAAGGTGACAACAGGGCTTGGAGCCATTAGAATTTTAGAGAGTCTGGGATTTGGGTCCTCAGATTATCAATTAACATTTGCTGTTATTGATGTGATAACCCCACATCATATATTAAATATAACAGGAAAAACCCATCAATACCTATATATTCATTTGGGTACTTAATCACATGCTTAACTGTAAGTGCATGAGTAGTCAAACTGAAGTCAGAGACTATTCACATACTTATGCTAATTTGTACCAGGGCCAGAGGGAGATGAGAAAAGCATCTGAAATAACCAGAAGACAAACAATAAATCGCATTCTTACACATAGCTCTCCATATAAAAGCTATATAATTATAATTCAAAATAAACAGCTTTATCACACCCAGCACACACACAATGCAGCATGGGCACTCATAGAAATATTAAACATACACTTGCATTTAACCTTTACACTATACAGATGCACCAGTACTTCAAATGTAAGTATACCTGCTCAAATGATTATTACCTTTTATTTTATTTACTTCTTGGGGATATATTTAATACAAGCCCAAGAAATAATTGAATTATACACACATACACACACACATATAGAATTCATTTACTGATATATAGAATTTATGAATTCTATATATTTATATGTATAATTAATTTGTGTATATTATATGTTTACAAATATATATGTATGTATGTGGTATGTGTGTGTATATATATATTTATACATATATATACACACACATTTATGTATGCATTTATGTATGTATATAAAGAGCAAGAGTAAGTACAAGCTTATTTTTGGAATAAAAGACACAGACACTGTATCTCAGTAATTAAAGATTTACAATAACATAAATAATTAATATACTCCCCAAGTAAACACAATAGTCACCCCCAGATAAATGCAGCTGCAGCAGTAATGTTACATGGTCCTGATGAACATACCTATCTTTTTTATACATTTTGGAAGCCTTACACTCATGATTAAAGGAAGAACATATTCTGATGGATTCAAAGATGTTGCACATAAAGTGTTATTGTATTTAAATATCTTCTGAAGAATAATGATATCACCTTCTATATTGAATGTTAAGCACAAAAGAACAACTGTTAAAAGAATATTTTTAAATTTGCTAAATCAAGCACATAAAAGTTAAGAAAAACCAGAATTAAGGTGGCATGTACCACCTTTATCCAGCCCCCTGTCCATGTGTATTACAATACACTCTTTAGTTACAGAATACCTTGCTATTTTTTCTACAACACCTTTGTCCCACTTGGTGCCCATGATGGATCTTCACTGGGATGAATAAAAGCTAAGCAGTGAGGAAGGTTCCATAAAATCCCAACTGTTTGTAGAAGCAGAAAGGTGGGGAGTTAACAGAGTTTATCAAGACTCCAAATTTCCATTTCCTGTAGAATTCCAATATTTTATGGGGAGGGGAATGTTTTAATTCAACACATAAAGCAGAAAATAAATTTCCTGAAAAATAGAAATTCTGCTTAGGTGTTATTTAAAAAAAAATTTTTTTCAAATATATTTTCTTTCAAAAATACTCCCAGGGTTTTCAGGCTTCTGGAAACATGGCAGCTCTCTCATCATGCTGCCACAGATCTGAGGCTCCTAAAGTTTCTAGTCAGTGGGCTTTCTGGAAGCTTGTCTGCCATGCTGCCATGAAGCTGGGACTCCTACAGCTTCCAAGAGCCAGATCTTGAAAGGCTTCCAGACCACCTCCTCCAGACCACGTCCTATAGCAATTGGCTCCCCATGCTGCCCAGTTTCAAGGCTGTCTAGATGATCAACCTGGACATGTTTATTGCTACATGGGTTCCCAAATCTTGAGGCTACTCCTGACACAGCTAGCTCCCATGGGCAAAGGTGAAAACAACCAAAAACAAAGTCTTGTAGTGGGAAGTGTTGGGCAATCTTATTACAAGACTGTAACAAGCCTATGTACTTGCCCTTTGCTATAATGAAGGCTTCAATGTGATCCTGTATTGAACACTTAACTCACACCAGTTTTTCTCAGGGTGCTAAGAAGCTGTTCTGGGACCTATCCAGGAAAATGGTTGCTTGGATAAAGAGACCTCCAACACTGCAACCTTATATCAGGGGAAATGTATGGCACATGAAGTGATATGATGGCTTTTGCCAAAGTGAGGCCTAGGATCTGGCCCTAGAGGCAAAATCAATATTAAAATACATCTGTAGACACCAAAGATTCTTGCAGCACTCACATGGCACACATAGATGTCTTATCTTGAGATACTTTGAGAGAGTGAGTGGTAATTAGCAATATCCTAGAAAGGTCAAGGTGAGTAAACAGTACTATAGAAACCCCTGCTTTTTGTGTGGCTTCTCTTTTCTGTGCTTAATGAGATGAATTAGCGTAACTTTTTTATTTAATTTGTTAATCTATGTAAATTTGGAAAACAGGAGAAGAAGTGGGGGGTTTTTCCCCAACATGCATGCATTTTCCATTGCTGTCTGCTTCCTTTGTCAGTAGGGAGGGGGAAATGGCAAATAAACAGGGGGAAAAGATGGGTGTAGGGGCAGTGATGGATCCAGCATGGAGCAGCGGCACGGCTGCACCCCCATTTTCAGGTTGGATCTAGTCCAAGAGCATTTTTAAGCAGCCCAAAGCATGCAAGAACCCTTCTCCTTCCCTTCTGTGCTCAGAGGCATGTCCCCTTCCCTCCCCTTTCCCCTTTCCCCTCTCCCACATCTGCTTCTGTTGCTTTCCCTGTGGTGTTGGGTTCAGGGGAGAAGCTTCAAAGCTGCTCCTGCCTGCTCCAGCCAGGCTGTGTGTGGGGTGCGGTCATCTGGGAACAGTGACAGCAGGAGACCCGATGGACAGGACGGTTCCCCTTTCCCACTCCTGTTCCCAGGGGACAAGGCTGAGTGGGGGAACCCATTTCAGCTGCTACCACTGTCACTGTTCCACACAACCCAGATCTGAAGATGCTCCACCCTTGGGGCTATGGGGAAAGCACAGCAACAGGGGTGAGAGACTGAAGGGGAGGGAAAGGGCTGTGCCTCTAAGCGCAGAGGGAAAGGTGGGGATTCTTATGGGCTTTAAGAACTTTTAAAAAATCCCCAGAGGCTGCCATGGTGGGGACTGTTCCTCCTGGTTGGGAGAAGAGGAGGCTGGGAGCAGGGATGTCCCTACTGGTTGGGAGAAGAGGAGGCTGGGAGCAGGGATACAGCCACCCCTGTAGTGAGGATGGCTGGTCCTGCACCCCCTTTTCCAAATCCTGGATTTGCCTGGAAATAGCAAATCCACAAATTAAAAAAAATTTAAAAAGTAGGCTTCCAAAAATTGAAGTAAAATAACATTAAATCAAAAAACAAAAATATTCCAAATCAGTATATTGAAATACATAAATCTGCTTTTGTTTCATGTTGACGATTTGAAAAATATTCAAAGAAAAACTAATTTCAAGACAGACGTTTTTGGCAGGAAAAAGGTTAATTTTAATAAAGTCATTTGGTCTCACCCACAAAAAATGACTGAAACATTTTAACTAGTTCTTGTTACATAAGGCATGTAAAATCTCCTATTTTCAAACTGTCCAACTAGCATAGCTAGGAATCGGATCAAAGGAAAGGAAATCTTCTATTATAACACCAGAAAGGGTGGTATTTCATTACACCTTTAACATTTTAGCAGATGACAACTAGGCATGCTCAGAAGTGTTTCCCCATCACCTGCCTCTATTTATAACTTCAGCAAAGATTCTGTATTTTAATACTAACATATAAACGTTATAAGGGGGTTGTGGTATTTTTCTTACAACACCAAATATATATTTTCTTTTATTTTCTAGCATTTTCTGAGGGCAAAATTTGGTCCTAGAGAGAGACACCTTAAAGAGCAAGGTGCCGTGACTATACTGCAATATGCTTAACAACAAACATGCCCCGTGCCCCCCCACCTTTCTCTATAATCCCTTTCTCCTTTTGTTCCATGAACACTTTTTCATGACTGGAAAACAATATTGTCCATTTTTTTTAATATTATGAGGCCTGACCTTTTGTCCCAGATATTCAGACACCCAGCAGTGCATAATGGCATGTGACAGACAGGAAAGGACTTCAAAGAACATTAGGTTCATAAACGTATTTTCACTTTGCTTGAGAATTCCTGTGACATAAAACTAGTTACTAAATAACAAAGATTCAATGATTAGCACTGGCTGGGAGGCCATTTCTCATTAGCACCCAGCCAAGCAGTGAATGGGGTGAGGAAAGCGATAACATGTCCAGTTCAGGATGTTGAAAATGTAAGTTATGTAAAACTAGAAGGCATACTATCTGTCATGATTTCCTGTCTGAAAAGCTGATATTAATTCAGCAGTTCTCTATGCACAATGTTAATCTTTGTTATACTGCTGTTAACCAAATTAGGTATGGCACCTATGGCTTTCCATTACAACTCAAGCTCCATTTAACCAGCATCTAGCCAGCTGGTACAAGATATTGATGCACCAGGCTGTGTCCACGTGAGCGTGGACTTTTGTTTCCCCAGGGACAACTAGCAGCAGCACACCTTGTGCCAAAGCTAGTTGTCCCTGGAGAATGCCTGTGCCACATGCCCTCTGGCACACAGCAGGTTACCCCAGGGGGGTAGGTATCCAGGGGTCAAACCCCCACCCCTATGGTGCTCCTTGCAGCACAGAAAACAGTTGAATGTGCAGTATGTGACACTACAGATGTGTCTGCAGTATTACATACCGCACAGCCATGCTCATCTGGATGTGGCCCCAGAGGCTTGATCCTATACCATTTAATCAATGGTGGTTTGCTATAATCTCACTAGTCTGACCAGCAAACCCTAAATTAATTTTAAGGAGAAATCATTTCTCCTTTAAATGTGTCTGTGTATATTTCCACAGTCACTGGAGCCAATAGAAGCTTTGAAATCTAAGAGCAGTGAGAATAACCCTTTTGAGTCACAATTGACAATATGAGTTAGGTTTGTCATCTTAGAAGAAGCTGATTTTCTTCAAATTCAGATAACTTGTTCTATGCTGTAATTCTCAAGATGTTAATTTGTCTAGTTGGGGCTGTGAGGTCTGGAACATATGATCCAGGCAATAGCTTTCAAACCGTGTCCCGTGGAACCCTGGATTCTGCATTCGGTCACTGGGGGTGATTGGGGGTGATAATGAAGAGGGCCAGGGGGTGGTGCACCACCATTTCCAGGCTCCATGTCAGTCCTTAGGATAGGGGTGGCAGTTCTGTGGCACAAGAAGTGTTATGAAATGGTTCTGTGACCTTAGGAAGTTTGAAAACCATTGGTCCAAGATGCAATTGGGAAAAATGGAATATGGTTTATAAATTCAAATTGAAAGAAAGTAGAAACGTAATTAACCCAAATCTTAGCTCAAAACTCAAACCCAACCTGTACTAAGCCTCTCTGAGTGCATGTCAAATAAGGCAGCAAGCATCCCAGGGGAAAAAATTCACATGCCAAGTGTTGTATTATATTGATTTTATATGAAAGCCTATCCCATTGTACTGAAAAATTGCATCTGCTGACAAATGTTGTCCAGTTTTTAATTAAATCATTTTATATTACAAATGTGCTGTCAGAAGAAAGGTGCATCTGTATGCTGAACAGCAAATTGTGACAAGCCTACCGCAATGTGATGCTTCACCATAATTATAGTATTGCTCTTGACAAGAGGCTTGCAGCATGTAAAACTAGCAAATATTGCACGTGCAATAGGGCAAAACTAGCACCGTGAAATCTCAAGCTCTTTAGAGTAGTGATGGTTTTCTTAAAGTGCAGAAAGTTTCATGAAACTTTTTTTTTCAGTCAAATGAGTTCCACTGTACCCAAGAAAGAACTTTGAATGGCATCAGAAAAATGAAAGATTTGGAGCCTGACTCTACAAATGAAGGTGCCAAGTGTTACACTTACAAAACACATGCTAAAAAGTAACCAGCAAGACAGGAAGGGCAAGAGAACCAAATCCTAAATTTGGAGCTGATCCAAACACCATTGAGATCAGTGAAAGTCTTTCCATGAACTTCAGTGAGCTTTGGATTAATTCTTTAATGAGTGGCTTCAAAAATTACTCAAACCTATAAGGTGAAAGGGCAGTGTGTGGATAAATACCTCTTTGCCTAGTCAGTTAAGCTCCTGTCCATTCAAGGACACATCCTCCATTAACAGCCTGTCCCCTTTTATATCCCATGCTCTACATCAGGGATGTCCAACTGGTGGGCCCACAGGACACATGAGATCTGTCAGGGGTTAAGTTGTGGCATCTGGTCAGGAGCCCAGAAGTCACTCACTGCATCGCTCTGGCTGCAAAAGCAGCCAGATTCTCTGGGTTCCTCCCCCTCTTTCTCCAGCTGCCATTTTCTGCAGGGGTGGAGACTTTGTGGCAAGGAGTGTCTGTGTGGCCCTTTGGCCTGTGCCTTGATTGTTGCAGCCCCCATAGCATGGTACCTGGGGGCTTAGAAGTTAGACAACCATGGTCTAGATACTCAAGAAGAAGTCTTGAAACAGTGTGAAATTATCCCTCCTCAGCAAGAACTATGGATTATGGCTTGTACACCTGCTTAGCCTCAAACACTTCATGCTCATTGGTATGGGTTTCCAGGATTAAGATTTGGAACATGGGAGTCTAGGCTGATTTTCTCTGGAGTGTTTACAGATTTGTTTAATACCCAGCTTGGTACATTATACTATATATACAACATGCACTTTTCCCAAAAAAATAGCCCCCCAAAATTGGGATGCATGTATTAAGTGGGGAATTTCCTCCCAGTATTGCTAACACCTGGTTTGATTCCTGCTCCACAGTACAGCAGCTGTGCTATTACTGTTCAAGCAACTGAGGAGTCAGTTGACTTAATAGAGTTGACACTCCATAGGTATTAACAATTCTCTCTCCTTTATAATGGTCTGGATGTTCCACTAATCAAGTCAATCTTTTTATAAAATAAATGCTGTCTCCTAGCTGTTCCTGGTCTCTCCGTTTCACAGCCTTTTTATTTCTTTAGCTCAGACACTTTTGTTCTTTTCAAAATCACAGATCCACCATTGGAAACCAGTCTTCAGCAGCAGCTAGAGATTCAGCTTTTGTTGTGCAGGAAAGAGAGGATGAGTCATTTAAGGATTAGGCTCTGTCCCTGCTCTATGCAGTGATAAGTCTGGCAAAATCTTTTTTCTTCATTCTGCCTTTTCAAAAACAATGTATTATACCGGAAATTGGAAATACCAGAAAATATATTAAGGGTTGAAGTATCTTTGGGAAGTTTTAATGAAGTTGCACATTGAAAATAAAATAAATCTTTTTATAGCAGGGATGTCAAACATACAGCCCAAGCACATGGAGTCATGACACCTGGCTGGCAGGGCACCTCGAGTGGCTAGAAATTCAGGGGAAGGGCCTGCTGCTGAAATCTGGAGTACAGAGCCCTGTTGGGGCTGTGTCAGCTGAATTAACCCCAGTAGCTCCTGGACACTGCTCACCTCATTACCACTTGCCTTGCCACTGCTTGCAGGTCCAGATCCAGCCCTAAGGAGTCCGCATTCCAGATCTGGCCCCAGTGGCCAAGTAAGTTTGATAACCTTGTTCTACAGAATTCAGGATCTTCTGAGTAAAACTATTATTTAATTTTGTTTTGCTGTCACCTGTTAAAGTATTATCATAGTACACAAAATTAGGAGATAATCAGAAATTTCATGAGGCATTCTAATCATAATTCCCTGGCTAATTTTGCATAGTCAAGAAATCTGAATAGTTTGGATAAATTGTAGTTAAGATTCCAGACTTCTGGTTGATTGCATAAGTCAGTTGAACTCTGATCTTAGTGCATTTCTTTCATCACTGGCAATAGTATCAACTGGAAAGTCAACATCAAAAATTGATAGCTAAAAATCTAAATACTCTGTAAAATCATACACAGTTCTATAAAAGTACTCTGCTATAGATCCAAAAATTTCATTACGAAAGCTAAAATATTTGATGGCTGAAAAAGATGTGAAAGGTTAGAGAGGTTTGAATGAAATTGCAGCAGGCTGAAATCCTGGGGAAGGGGGAGGTTCCTATTCACAGTGCCAGAAATTCTCTCAATGGAGTTCTCGGTACTGATGTTCCAGAACAAAGAGCACTTACTGGTTGGAGTCCATGTTCAGCTGTCATCCATAGTTCGCTACACTTCTCATCATGCTGATGGTTTTTCTGGTTCGGTGATCAGGAAAACAGAATAGACACCTCTAGTGAACTATTTGGATTTCAATACTGAGAATACCAATTAGTGTTTTTGCTTCAGTATCAGTGAGTGCAGTATACTCACCCCCTAAGTATCCATAGAAGAGCTCTCTACTCAGACAGACCTTCCAAACTTCTCTTATGTTGTTTAATCATTACCTCCAACTCATACTTTCTATACTTTGTCACCTAGAGTAAAAGAAATAAGAGAAATGGTTCGCAAAAGTGATTACCTGTATAATTTACAATACATCTTGTCTCAATTTAGGATCTGTTATTTGAAATATATTGATGTCATAGCTTCCTTTGGTTCTGGATACAGGACTTAGCGCAAGTATTGTCTTTTATGAAAAAAAACTCCACAAAAAATAAATTAGAATATGACGTGTTGACATTGTGAAATACCCTGCTTGTTCAGGCAATGTCATTTTAAAAAAAATCTTTTTACATATATTATTTCTACATTCTTCTACATTTATGCATTTCTTGTGGTAACTTCCTTTTCTTGTCAACCTGGAAATCTCAAAAAATTCTCCTTTTCATTCATCAGGAACCACATTCTGATCCTGTCTCTCTTGTGTAAATTGACAGGAAGCCCACAGGCATTTTTCCAGATTTTCAGTGTGTCAGAATTCAGAATCATCTAGACCTCTAGCAAAAAATGAAACTACTGTTCATAGACATTTTCACTGAACTGTGTTCTAACAAACATGCCTCTGATGCTAATGTATAGTGTTTCACTGAGTTCAGTAGAACTTCAGAAGTTAGCAACTACTTTAATTGCATGTAGTACAATTCATGGAGCCATTATATAACACTCATAATTTTTAATGGACTTATACTTTGCAAAAACTGTTTTATAATATATACAAAATCAGGATACAGATGAATATTAGCAGTGTAATATGATTTGTATCCATATAAAAAACAAACAGTATAGCCAGTTAACAACTTCTATGCAAAAATTAAAATAAAAAAAACCTTCCCAAATTATACAAAAATGTATTATTCACAATTCTCCTTTTGAAAGAATGATTATAAATGAAAAATTTTATTTTGACTATATTCAACGACAGATTTTCATTTTAGTTTCGCTTGAAATCAAATTGTGAATGTTTTTATTGCGTTTTTCATTTTGCTTGAAATATTTTGCAGGAAAATATTTCCCACTTTCCAACCAGCCCTCATGAACACTAAATCTTAGAGAAGAAGATGTTATTCTTCTAAAATCAATATGTTCCTTTTTAAGGTATAGCCAGATGGCCCAAAGTGATTAGAGTTCTGCAGTTAAAGCATTCAGAGTATTATGAATCTAAGAATTCAAGCTTTGCCCAGCTGCTCGATCACAATGTAAATATATATACTGGCCCATCCAGGGTCAAAATCAGCCCTGGTAAGCAATCAGCTTCCCTGGTTTCCAGGGAATTTAGTGAAATGGGACCACTTACTCTACAAGCCCTTGCCTTTATATTGAAGACGAGGCCTTTTGTCAACCACATTTTAGGATTTCTCCTCATTTTGCATTAACCTTACATGCCACACATTGAGTTGCCTATTCTATTTCAAAAGAAAATCTGTCCAGTATTTTGTATAGGCTTTCCTACTTTAGCACCACTGGCAAAAGAATCACAAAGGAAGTTAAAACATTCTGAATAGTCTAATCATGTTAAAAATGGATACGAACAAAGAAATTCCATTTTAAAGAATTATTCCAAGACATTAATATACACCAGTATCCCTAGCACAGGCAAAGAAGTTCAATGTTCAGTTGAGATGAATTACAATGAATAAAGATGGGCAGATGGAAAACAAGGTAAACAAAAATATGGAAAACAGGATAAATAAGTGAATGATGCCTAAAAAACCTAATGAGTTTGAAGACTGCCAAGATAAGAATACGTGAAAAGTTATTTTAATTTCCAATCAGTTGTCAGAGTCATTAGCCCACAGACACATCGGATGTTTTTTTTAATCCTAAATTGATTTTAGTTTTTAATATTTCCAGGTGCACAAAATGGTTAATCCATGTGATGTCTGCAGCTGATACACATCTGGGAGTAGGAAGGAAGGAACCTGAAGACACCTGCTATGACTACAATGAACTGCACTTGCAGGCTGTTTGCTCTACTGGGCAACATAACAATTGGCTGGCAGGCTGGAAATAGCTAGCCACAGCATCTTTGTCAACATCCAGCAGCAATTAGTGAAAAGGAGTCAGTGCTGAATGCTAGCATCTCAGCTGGGGGAGATCCAATAGCTGCTTCAACTTCCATTTTCTATTCATATTTGCATAGTGGCTTTGGCCATATTAGAACAAGGCAAACTCATTTATAGGGGACAGAGTTAAGCAGATTTCCTCAACACATCTCTGCCTTGAACTTTGTCAAAGATATAACCTTTCCGTGCATCCACACAGAAGCCTCCCTCGGACTATCATCATCTCACCGTTATTGTCACTTTTTTTTACTTTGCTCTTAATCCTTTTGGCCCCACTCACCTCAAATACAGCTGTAGTCATCCATTCTCACCTCAGTTCTAAGTGTGGTTCTACGCCCATCACTTTGAGCCTTTCACCCCTCTTCTCACTACCCCTTCTCTATCGTACCAAGTGTACACTGATTGTTTTTACTCTTGGGGGTCTTCACAGCCTAACTGCACTCTACCTACCACCTCTAGCTCACTATCTGAATAGTAATGCTTGCTTCTTCATGTCCCAGTTCTTTAAGGAGCAGCCTTAGATGAGCCAGCAATTGTGGTTGGCTCATTGAACATGTGTTTTGGAACAGAAGTATTGCCGTTCTCCTTCCCTATACAATTACAAAGAGGCAAGTGGCATCTGGTCACATCTTGTTTTGTTTTATGCATCTGGCCAGGATGCTCCAATAAGAATATGTCCCGGCAGAACTTCAGATTGATCACTGACAATTATGAGTTGCCTAAAATGGATCCGGCTGATCCTGGTGCATCAAGAACAAAACAAATGGCACGCAGCCACAAAAATAATTTTTTGTACTCATTTTGCATTGGAGTCCATTCAAATGGGACACTGGCAGGATATCCAGTAATCCTTGTTTCCTCTGGGAAAAAAAACCAACAGATGTTACATTTGGAAAACTTTAAAGTATGCATCAAGTACAGTGATTCTCAACCAGGGTGCCATGGCACCCTGGAATCCTGTGACATCCTTTTAAGGGCACTGTACAATATGAGCACTGTTCAGTGTGCAAAAAACCTACACAGGAGTCACAAGATATACCAAAAGATTTCAAAAAAGTATCCATAGTGTCAAAAATAGTCTGACTTGCGTGGTTCTTCAGAGTTCTTTGCAACAGAAGAATAGCTCTATCATTCTACCAGAGTCAAAAAACAAGTGAAAGCTAAGCTAAGAGCTGGCATTTTCCATGGGTTGCCTTGTATCTAACAAGGTTGAGAACCAGTGATCTTTCGCATGAATGCACTCAGATCCAAGGCAAATACCTGATTTTTATTCTTGAAAGGGGCAAGCAAACAGAGGAAGGATAACTGGAAAGTTTGTTCATTCTTAGATAGGTGACAAAACTATCTATGATGATATGAGGCACACGAGGGTTTTGATAGCTGTCTGTTTGGGAATACCTGCATAATTCATTCATGAGAATAAAACCCCTACCCACATCATCATCTTCCATCTATGCATCAGTTCTGGATTCTCTCCAGTGCTCCCTTTATGGAATGGTATAGAAAAAGTTGCCCCCTACTTCCATGACCATATGGGAAAGTAGCTGTGGTTCTGCTACACACAGGGAGAGATGTCCCCGCCCCAGGTACCAGACCCACAATCTCCAAAGGTGTCCATGTACCTCTGTACATGTGGGGGCCTGAAGGCAGGACAATCAAAATATGAATTGTCAGGCCCAGCAGTAGCCCAGCTTGATGAAATGTTAGGTTTGTAGTAGTGGTTGTAGCCAAAATAGGTCTAATGGTGCTCCTCAGCTAAGAAGCAGTAATCCTTCTTCCTGACCCCAGCAGAGTCCCCTCTGCCAAACCTTAGGGTTGATGCAGGGAACCTCAATTTTTCTCAGTAAAAAGAGTGATATCTTTGGTTTGGGTAGAGCAATTTGTGACCTTGGTAAATGCAGCTGTAATCAATTTTATTTAATGCTTTGACATAAATAAGATTGTAAAAACAAGATCAGATAGCTATAGATGTGATAGAAATAAATATAACACAGCTCTGAATTCAGCCCCACTGGTATTACAAGGCCTCAGCAGCAGGAAGTTCAACCAGAGGTGATCTGTGATAGTACAAGATGTCCAGCACGCATGCTTCCCAAGGGAACAGAACCAGTCAGCATCGTCTAAACGAGTATTGCTGAGCACTGGTTGAGAAGGGAGAAACAGGCAAGAGGGCAAGAGGATTATGTCTGTTCAGCATGTCACTTACTATCAGTAGAAACTCTTTATATCAGTGGGCCAGAACCACCCAACTCTAACCCATCATCACTTACTCAGCTCCCTACTCCTCAGGTGGAACATGAGTACAGCTTCCAGCTAGTAGAGAGCTGCACGAAGGCCAAGCAGCTAAAAGCTGTGGTCATGCTGCAGCTACTTCTGCACTGCTGTTGGGAAACATGGGAGGGACGTTGAAAAGCAGCAGCAGCAAGAGCACAGCTGGAAGTTGTCCAGCCCCAGTGTGTCTCCTTGCTGCTTAGCCCTGGCACAGGCACAAGCACAAGCAAAGCCCTTGGGCTCTGTGGGCCAGAGCCAGCCTACAAGCCATACATTGCCAGCCCCTGCTTTACACAGTTTAAGACTCCCTTGCCCCCAAACAGAGCATCCAAAAGGAAGGAATGTATGGAGCAAGCACCTGTTCCATCCTGATGGTAAATCCTTCTCAGCTACAGGTTGCAGTTCATAGCTGCAGTGAATTACATCATAATACCTCATCCTGGTATATTATTTGACATTAACTTCCATTTGTGTAGCAGAGATGTTACTGATAATATTATGGTCCTGATTTCACAGACACTCCCAGGTGGACCCTTACTGTCATGACTAGTTCATTCAAAGAGCCTCGTTAGACCTTATGCTGTAAGCTGAACAAATGCTAATCGGCTTAGTGTTGTTCAGGTTAGTGGAGCAGTCACACATGTAACACCCACACGTGTTACAATGTGTGTGTGTGTGTGCGCGCGCGCGTGTGTGTGTGGTCGGTCAAGATGATTTCTGTTCTTCTGGCTATGTGCTCAACACATGGCAAGCTGGGGCCTGTATTTGGGCAAAATATGTAAAACCCTCAGGCTTCATTGGCCAGAAGAAGCAGGGGATTCTTCAGGCAGATTGGTTGGGAGAAAGACTGGAGTGTGTCATTCCCTGACTGGACAAGGCCAAGCTGAAGTCATGCAGAGGGATATAAGGTGGATGGGTTGGTTTGGGGAGGAGGAGAAGCTGCTAGGGGCTGCTGAAGTGTGAAGTCTTCTCCAAGGAAGAAAGAATTTGCAGATAGCAAAAAAGTAGAGGAAGGAGAGAGAGAGAATTGCCCCAGTGCCTGGGAACTCCCCTGTCCTCCTTTTCTTCCCCTTTTTCTTTTGACATTTTAAGGAATTCATACTAGGGAAAAGAGTATTGTTTCCTTGGGCTGACTGGCCAGAAATTAGGCCTAGCGGTTTTAAACAGGGTTGAAACCTGAAAGTTTCTAATTCTACCAGGTTTGGACTGGGGTTGAGGTTTGCAGCTTTCTGCTCCCAGTGGAGCTGTGGACCCAAACTACCTGCAGTTCAGGCCTGGCTTTCCCCTTTGTTTCTTTTGATGGTTCATCTCTCTAGTCAAGCAGTGTGGTTGGGTCAGCTGTAGCCATTAATCAACTTGGCTCCTTTTCAAGTTTGTCCTGCAGTTTCATTTCAGCAGGCCATATAATCCAGTTCAGAGGTTTTGGGGTGCATACATGCTGACTGGAGCTGCAATCACTCCCCCCTTCTGCCCCCCAACACACAACCTCTCTGTGGGAGCAAAGATCAGTAATCTACCACTCCTCCAAGAGCAACAAAGTCCCCTGAAATGCAGAAGGACCCATGCTCTCAAGCAGCTCCTCACAGAGAAGTGAACCCAAGAAGCAGCTCGTGGGACTCTCCGATGTGTCCCTCCCTTTCCAGCCCATTACTGAAGGGAAGGTATGGGGGTTCAGGCACCCAGAACTACCTATTGGGGAGCCCAAACTGGTACCCAGACTGCTTAGGTATGCATGAAGTCCCCCAAAGAAGGTGCCACCTATATACTTTGCTTTGTAGTTAGTAGTGTTTTAAAATTATATTTAATGTTTTCTATGTTTTGTTTTATTCTTCATAATAAATGTGGTTGTTTGTATTTACACTCCTTGTTTATATGGGATACCCCAGCAAATTTAGTGTTCCCAAATTTTGGGTGGGGCTCAATATATTGGTATCATTTATGAGGTACCCTGAAATGTGAACCTTTCACTGTGCACATTTCACTGCTGACTGGTGCCCAGGAGAAGGGTTACACATAGTAAGGTAGAAAACCTGCTCTGACTGTCCTTCACCTTCACAGCAGTGACTTGCAACTAGAGGCTTTGTGAACAGAGTCAGGATTGGGAACAAGCCCCATTTGTTGCTTCTGCTGAGCAAAGAACAGGCCCACCACCATGTCTGTTTCAGCAAGACCAGAAAGACCAGGGGAAGCAGCTTCCCTGGGGCGCTCTGATCTCCCTGAAATCAACACAGAAACTCCATGCCGAGAGCAGGGCTGTCAGGGTTTAAGCCAGGGGCAGGCAATTATTTTGGATGGAGGGCTACTTAACAAGGTTTGGTGAGCTTCCACAGGCTACACGGGTAGCCCTGCCCCTTGACAGTTGCCCCGCCCCATGGTCACCATCTTGGGACTGGAAGTCCCACCCCTAACCCCTGACCTTTGCCACAAGAAGTCCGTCTCCGAAAAACTCCTTTTGGGAGGGGGGGGTTGCCATCTTAGAACCAGATAAAAACCAAATCACATACTAGAAGTCAAACACCTACTACAGGGGTGGCCAACTGGAGGCTCCAGAGCCACACGCGGCTCTTCAGAAGTTAATATGCATCTCCTTAAATCTTTGCACAAGCACACAGTGACCAGCTTCCATTTGGCCCTCCATCCAAAACAATTGGAAGCTGGTCACCATGTGATTGTGCAAAGATTCAAGGAGACGCATATTAACTTCTAAAGAGCCGTGTGTGGCCACCCCTGACCTACTATAACATATTTTAATTTTATTACAAAAAATATATTTGTCATGAATTGTGTTTGTGTTCTGTATATAGAGGTGATTGCATAATAGCTCAAAATAAATTCTTAGTCTTGTACAGTGTGTGTGTGTGTGTGTGTGTGTGTGTGTGTGTGTGTGTGTGTGTATGGTGGGGTATGGGGGTATGTGGGGGAGTTGTGAGCAGGTTTAGTTATGTGGGGGGCATAGGGTATGCTGGGGGGTTGTGCATATGTGGGAGGAGGGTGTGGGTGTGTGGTGTTTGTGGGCTGTGAGGGAGGGTGGGGGAGTGTGGGGACTCCCCCCCCATGGTGAAGCAGCAGGTGGGGGTGCACAGGGCACTCATGCCCAGTGGCACACAACTCCAGCCAGCATTGCACATTGCAGCCAGAGGCACAGCACCCACAGGGCTATCTCTACCACCGGTGCTCCCCACTATGCATGAGTAGCCCCTTCACTCATGCAACATGGGAGGGTAGCCCACACGCTGGAGCCGGCTGCCTTCCCCACCCCCTACCCCATGCAAGTGTGGGAGCTACACATGCATGGTGGGAAGTGCCAGCAACAGATGCGGCCCAGTGTGGGGTGCACTCCTAGCTGTGATGCGTAGCACTGGCCAGAGATTAGCATCGCTGGGTGCCAGCATTGGGCATCAGCACCCTGCATGCCCCCACCTGCTGCTGCTGCTGCTGCTGCCCCACTGCCTGCTGAGGCTGTAAACCACGGTGGGAGTGTGGGGTGGGGGTTTCCACACTCCTCCACACTTCTTCACACCCATACCCTGCCCACCTGAGCTCCACACTGCCGCCACCCCCTGGGTGCGGTCTTCACACTATCACCATCCCTAGCCCCATGCTCCGTACTCCTGCCAGCTGCAGCTCCACCCCCTCCCACGCCACTTCCCTCCCTGCTGCCTGGAGCAAGCGGGACACCAGGGAAGCTAGGCAGAAAGCTGTGTGCTGACCAGGCCAGGCCCTTCCACCATCAAGGGTGGGAGCAAGGCACAATAGGGTATGTTGGGTGCATTGTGTATATGTGGGCACCTTGCTCCCACACTAAGAGCGGAGCTGCCAGGCTTAAACCCTGACAGCCCTGCTCTGAGAGAGGAAGTTAGCCATGTTAGCCTGAAATCAAGCAGAAGTCCGGGTAGATTTGCATCTTATAGACTAACTAAATCAGAGATGCTTAGCGTAAGTTTTTATAAGCCACAGGCTTACTTCATCAGATGCTGACATCTGATGCACAGCCTCTGATGAAGTAAGCCCTTTGCTTACAAAAGCTTATGCTATGCATCCCTGATTTAGTTCGTTCATTCAAGCCAACTGGTATAACCTCATTTATCTTAAGGCATTTTTACAGTGCTCTACTTGTATAAAGGGCCTTAATGCCAGTGTAAAAGTCACAGCCAGAGTGGTGTAAAATAGCCTTAGTATTAATGAGAATCAGGCTTGCTGGCTCCAAAACATAAATGTGATATTGGAGTGGTTTGTATTACAACAAATGTATGTTTTCTTATTTGTTAGTTAACTAACTTCACTTTCTGATCTTTAATAAATATTTCTCTTTGTTCTTTAGATAGAACTGACAGATCTGTGTGTGTGGGAGGATATGTAACTGCAGCCATGGAGAAAATGAAATTCCATTATAATACATACGCATTACTAGTTGTGTTGATTATATGCCTTGCAGTAAAGTCCAGTCACTCCAGTCAAGATCTGGAGATCATGGATGCTGTACAAGGTGCTGTAAATTTCAGCAATTCACTACTTTATCAGACTAATTTTACTGTATTTTCTATGACAAATTCAACACCCCAATATGGAAAAGCAATACCATGTAGTTTCAGCGAGTCACATTACCACCATCTGTGTAAATTTTGGGTCCAATTGTGGTCTCACTTACATCAGTGCAAATAAAAAGCAGCACACTCATCTTATTTGTACAGATACTCCCACAACTCCAGGAAATATCCCTAGTTCCTTCCACTAGGAAAAAGTGCCATGGCTTGACAGCATTTTGAGTGGGAGGTTGAAAATTTGAGCACTAATGAAGTCAGTAAGTTAGGCATTCTGTGAAATTCTTACCACTAAAACAGTAGCCCTGAAGCTGAAGCATAAATGTATTCCAGCCCCCTGGCTGGAGAGTTACACAGGCGAGCTCTCCAGCCAGGTGGCACTAGAAGGCTTCTTCCTAGTCTACCTTCACTTTAGGGGAACCCATTAGGGCTGTGTGAAGCTTTGGTCCCCGATTCAATTCGGCAGAGATTCGGCCCAATTTGGCGGCCAAATCTCTGAATCCAAATAGAACCAGGAGACCCTTTAATCTCTCTGAATCAAATTGGAACCCTTCGAATCAATTAGGAGAGATCTGGACATACAGACAGCTTTAAATGTTTTTTTCTGCATACCCCTAGGTAGCAGGGGCTTGTGAGTGCTGTGATGCTGGGGCAGATGGAGTGTCCCCCAGTAGCTCAGGGGGCTCCCCACGCACTAGCAGAAGACCCAGAAGTGGACCAGAAGCACTTCCAGGTCACTTCTGGGTCTGCCATGGAGTGTGCTGGGGGGCCCCTTGCGCCTCCCCCCGGCTCAGCGACTGGTGCCTCCAGGGCCTGGGGGGGGCACCCAGGGCCCCCCAGTGGCCGATTGCTGCACCAGGGGGACATGGGGGGGGCCCCCCAGCATGCTTCCCGGCAGACCCCAAATTGGACTGGAAGTACTTCGGTCCACTTCCAGGTTCACCGCCAAACATGTGGAGGGCCCCCCCGGGATTCCTGTGGGATGCTCCATCCATCCCAGCATCGCAGTGCTCATGAGCCATGCCTGCTACCTCAAGGTATGTAGAAAAAACTTTTAAAACTGTGCCTGTGTCTGAATCACTGATTCTCCAAATCAGCATCGAATCTTCAGATTCGGATTCAGCTGAATCAAATCAGGGACAGTGATCCGAATCAACAAATTGAATCACTGTCCCTGATTCGAGACAAATTCAAATCAAATAGGGCCTGCTTCGCACACCCCTAGAACCCATTACTTAACAGCCTGTCTCTCCCTGCCTGGGAAGGGGGCAAGCTATCAGCTAGCAGTTGGCAGCTGCTGAAAAACAGCAGCTGCCACAGACAGCCTGGGGAGGGTTCCAGCCCTGGAAAAATGTACCCCTCTTCCTGCCAAACAGCTGATGTGAAAGGCGGCTGCAAAATCTTGAAACATTGCAGCCAGGAAAGGCACAGGGATGTACATCTGTCCCCCAGCTAAAACATTTCCTTTTTCAAGTATCACCAAGCATGTTTTACTTGGATCTATGAAGTGGGAAACAGATGCTAACATATGTAGACTGCAGATATCATAGACAAGGACCTACCCAGATCAAGGCAAGAGACGAGCAATTTTGCAGGCTTATTGTGGTGCTGGCCACCATTTTCATGGGTTTATAGTGGCAGCCTCTGCCCTTGCCCCCAACACTGATTGGCCAAGGAGCTGCCTTTCGTGAAGCCCTGCCCCTTGCTGCTGATTAACAGAGGCCTGCCCCTCACATGGCCCCATTGCTCACCACTGATTGGCAGAGAGGAGCAGGACTTCATGAAGGGTAACCCTCTCAGCCAATCAATGGCAGAGGAATGGCTCCCTTTGGGGAGCCAGAATTTTTTTTTTTTTTTTTTTAGTACTTTTTTTTCTGGCAATTCTGTGCAATATCACGATTTGAGTAGGTCCCTAATTATAGGATTCCCCCACTCCACCCCCCTGATTTTCAAGAACAGACTTCAACTAGGCACGTTAACGGTATATCCTTCTGCTTTTGAATCAGATACTGCCTGAGATAGGCAGGTGGATTTGATGGACCTGTGAGCTAGTAACTAGAAGAAAGTATGAAACTAAGAACCTTGCATCCTTACAATGACACGTTCTTAAACTTTTTTTGTTTGTTTGTTAGTTTTGTTTTTGTAATTTTAAGCTACAGCCCATAGTAGATACAGGGAGAAAATTCGAGAAATATACCACACTGTCAGCAGCTTCTGAGGTCGACCGGATGAAACTCTGGCTAATGTCACCTGATGGTCATTGACTCTACTGTCATTGAACTCTCAGTAACCTCGGTCAGGCCTAAATCTCACACACTGTGATCAAAGTAGTCACAGAGGGGCTGCAAAGAAGAGTAACCTTTGTAACATCTTTTAACAGGAAGGAGCATGCAAAAGTCCCATGTTGGCTCAGTCTCAATTTCCAGTCATCATAAAGCCAGACAATCACTTCTCCTCACCACCTTTAAACATTTAGTCCTGGTGTCAGTGCCAAAGCTCCCCAAGCCTACTAGATAGGAACATAATCGATGTCTCTGCAAAGGTAAGAGTGTTAAGTAGGAAGATTCCTTTTCCCTTTCTGTGTCTTGAAGACTGTGCAAGCACTGGTACAAGCTAGCCCATGATGCTTTACCAGGTAAAATTCCCTTCATATTCAAAGCCAGCTGATAAGGTTACATATTAACACTGGTTACGTTAACACTTGGCTCTGGTGACATGTATTATTTGACCTACTGTACAGTGGCACTTTGTCTTTTTGCCTGCAAAGAATTCAAGTAGAGATTGCTGACGTTAATAGGGAAGGAGAGGAGGGTGGAAAGAAGCCAGGCCTAAGATATTGGCAGATATCAGACGAGCGCACAAAGGCAGCAAACAGAAAATATTGATTGGCACTTCACACTGGACCATGCTTCCCGGGTACAGTATTCATCTGATTTTTTTTCCACACAAATTTATTAAATCATTGTTAAAGGGTGTGGCTTTCCATGGAAAGAATGCTATTCTTCACAAATGTCTGTGACTTGGTTTTATTTCAAAGATTGTTTCCCCCCCTGTTTTGAACCAACAATGTTGTCAGACAATTCAAGCATAAAACCTCTGTCAAACTACTAAAAGAAGCTCAAAATGTAGATATTATGGCAATGAGTGCCACATAAATAAAGAAAAAAAATTTAATGTGGAGGAAGGTATTCTCATCACTCCTCTTAAAGTTCCACAAAAAGCAATGATTTATACAATACAAAGACTTCTCTCCAATCTCCTAAATCCACGAAATAAAAGGATTGCAGCAGTATATGAGAAACAGATTAAAAAAAAAAACCAATACCAGAAACCACAAAGTGTCCAAACTCAATGAAAAGGCAAGAGGGTAAGAATTAAACAAGCAGTAGGACTGGTGACTCAGTTTTGTAAAAGACTGCCCCATCATGGTTCACTTAAGGAGTGGTCACCTATCAGTTCTCCTGCATCACATTGGGATCAATATTATGCTTCCTCAACTACACAAATCAAGGGTCTTTCAAATCCAACCTTGACTAGCTCCAGCAGTGGTAATTTCACAACCTCCCTGGGCAGCTCGCTGGTCGTAGAGCTAGAGTTTCCTTAATATTTAACCTGCAGCAATTTAAGTTTGTTACTTCTTTCCCCTTAGACTAAAGAGAACAGTTGCCCTCTTTATGGTATCCCTTAGCATATTCAAATAGACAATTATGTCTTTCTAGCTTTTTGTTCAAGTCAACTCCCCTAATCTTTTCTCAGGCTCTAGGGTTTATGTACCAAAATTTTCATTATCTTTGTTGCTGTCCTCTGAACTCTATTCAGTTTGTATGTTTAAAAAAGCAAGGCCTAGACAATGCAGAGTAGAGCAGAATAACAACCCAGACAACAGCTCTTATTGTGGTCATATACACACATTGGTCTTTTCTGTAACAACCGCATGTTAGCTTACTTCATAAATGCTCACTAGAAATCATCCATCTAACTCCATGCTGCTCAATGGACAAATCATTACTTGCTTGGATGGAAAGGACAAAATCCATAGTGGGATCCATAGTGTACCCTGGAAGTGATTACAAGAATGATACTGACCCAGATGTCATGCTGTCATGCCCCACACACTAGGGGTGGTTGTCTGTGTGAATTAGAGTCTGCCCATGGGAAAAGCAGAATGGGACTCTGGAGACCAAGGCACTATTTAACACTGCCTTTCCAGTAAATTAGAAGAGAATATACTGATAAAATAATATAGCAAAAGCCGTTTGCACAACCATATTTTGAATCAAGGGCCTTTCCTGTAAAGCACAAAAGCCCTGCTGGAGCTATACCAATAAGGCAATGAGAGAGATACAGGGACTAAGAGCAGAGCCAACCTTAGGGAAAATGGGGCCCTGGGCAAAATTGTATTTTGGCTCTCCACCTTTGAGTTTAAGTATGTAGTAGTATTAGCAAAAGTTTCAGAAGTAAACCCAGGGGGGTGGGGAATGGAGCTGCTGGGCTGGATCAAGAGACTTGCTTCCCTGCAGACAGGCACTGCTGCTGCTGCTGTGTGGGATCAAGGTGGACAGACTGGATCAGACACCACCCTGCCCTCACAGGCCCAGCCTGAGCAGTGGCTGTAGGTGTGGGGTCAGCTGGCCTGGGCACTGTTCCTACTGCCTGAGGTGAGAATCAGACAGGACAGGGTCTGGTGTGGGGAGTGCTGCTGTGGGAGTGGGCTGCTTACACATGCATGTGTATTTCTGAGTCATGGGCACAGCCAGGACAAGGAGAGAGAGTAGATAATGCCTGGCATAATAACATGACTTAGAAAGACAGACTGATGTGCTCTATCCGTTGTATTATTGCTCTGAAACAGAAAGTGAACTAAATAAAAACATTTA